TTACTTAACTATTTGTGTTTTAACTTCTTTTTTTAAAGTGTGTCTCTCTTGGTTTAAACAGCAAGCGGTACTATGTCAATTCTTCATCAACAGAAAATCAAGTCCTGTGAATCCTCTAATAAATAAATATAGAAAACACATGGAAAAAAAAAAACAACCACCACCATGCATTCTGGTCACACTTCTAGACATTCTGGTCTAGAAACAGAGTGTCAAGAGGAAAAGTGCTAAGAAGAGACTGTAAGGGATGGGCAGAGAGCCCAACAAACTTTCTGCATATCTGAAGTGCAGGCTTATTTCCACAGTCCAGAAATCTGTTGGGGGAATAGTAGTTCAGTCAAAACATATTGTACTAGAGCAATCTTAAAGATTAACTTGGCTAAAGCTCCCACGTGACACCTCTCCTGCGCAAGCTGCATTGGCTTCCTGTGGTCTTCCAGGTGCGCTTCAAGGTTCTCATCTTCAAAGCGCTCCATGGCTTAGGGCCCGGTTATTTACGAGACCACCTTCTGCCACCGATATCCTCCCACCGGCCAATACGCTCCCGCAGAGAGGGCCTCCTCAGGGTGCCATCGGTCAGGCAACGTCGGCTGGTGGCCCCCCGGGGAAGAGCCTTTTCTGTGGGGGCACCCGCCCTCTAGAATCAGCTACCCCCAGGGATACGACTGATCCCGGACACCCGTACTTCCGCCGGGCTCTGAAGACTTTTTTATTTCAGCAAGCAGGGCTGGGTTAAGAATCTTTTAATTGTTGAATTTTATGGGTAAGGGGTTTTAAATTGGGGGAGCCAATATAAATTTAATTCTGTTTTTATAGTATTTTAATGTTTATATTGTATGTTTTTTTAATTTAGGCTGTTCATCGCCCTGAGTCCTTCGGGAGAGGGGGCGGTATAAAAATTTAAATAAATAAATAAATAAATAAATAAATAAATAAATAAATAAATAAATAAATAAATAAAGCAAGGGTATAGGAAGACTTCTGACTTACTTTATTTATTTGTTTGTTTGTTGGTTGGTTGGTTGGTTGGTTGGTTGGTTGTTTGTTTAGTCAAGAACGTATTAGGTAATAAGTATAAGCATGGATTGGATCAGGGGTGGGTTCTACTTATCTTTACTACCGGTTCGCAACGGGAGCGTGCGCGCTTCTGCTCATGCGTAGATTGTCAATTATGACGTCCAGGCGGGTGGGTGGAGTCTCCCACCGCTTTTACTACCAGTTCTAACGAACCGGACAGAACCGGGAGCAACCCACCACTGGATTGGATACATGAAATAGATACGAATAGAAGAAACATTAGGACAGGGATGGTAGACACTCTGGTTGTCTTATGCCTGAGCTTTGGTTTAATTAGATTATGAACAACCTTTTCTGAAGATAAGGAGGAAGTTTTAAAAGTCCTGCTAAGCAAAACAAGGTGGCTCTTTATTATTTCATTGTGATAGCTCCTTATTTTCCTCCCAAAGGTTAAGCTAAGCAATAGACTTGGAATAACTTTATTAAATCGCATACATTAAAATGCAAAATTGTTGAGATTGTTTGATAAATAAATAAATAAAACTACTCTCTAGCACTAGAGAGAAGTTATTTGAAGATGAACTCCAGCACGAGTCCGAAAGCTCAGATGATAAAACATCTGGTCCAGGTGACCGAGCCAGATTGGATCCTGCAGCATTAGCCTGGAACATGTACATTCGCCTTCATTCATGAAAGTTGTGTTAACAACAGATGCACATATTGGGAAGTCAAAGTGAAACTGAATCTCAATCGAACCGGGGAGGGGGGGAGCGGGGAGAGGGTGTCTGTTAAGCTCCATTTCTGTTATTGTCAGCTTCAGAGAAAGTCATTTCAGTGCCGTCATTACACCAATGAAGTAGATTGTGTCCTTGGATTGTGTCATTTATGCCATTGGTTTAATGACACCATTATGAAAACGCTGAGGATAAAACAACAATATCAGCCATTGTATCCAGAAGACAGTGAAGTTCAGTGGTGAAATCCATTTTTTTTTTACTACCGGTTCTGTGGGCGTGGTGTGGCTTGGTGGATGTGGCTTGGTGGGTATGGCAGCGGAAGGATAATCTCCAAAAATCTGCAAAATCTCCATTCCCCCCCCCACTCCTGGGGGAAGGATATTGCAAAATCTCCTTTCCCAACCTGCTCTGGGGCCAGCCAGAAGTGGTATTTGCCAGTTTTCCGAACTACTCAACATTTCTGCTACTGGTTCTCTGAGCTACTCAACATTTCCGCTACTGGTTCTCCGAGCTACTCAAAATTTCCTCTACTTGTTCTCCGAGCTACTCAAAATTTCAAAAGTTCTCCAGAACCTGTCAGAACCTGCTGGATTTCACCCCCGGTGAAGTTCCATGCTATCTAATGGATTTTAGTGGATTGGAAACGATGGTTATTTAAGTCGGTTGGTGTAGAAATTTCCTTGATTAGAGATGGTTTTGGGGGGGCTTTCTAAAAAGCTAGTTTGGAGGTGGCTTAGTCTGTCCACATGTAAATAGGTTTCTTCCAGTCTTTGTGAATAAAGGAGAGCTGGTTTTTTTGGAAGACATTGCCTTATAACAAAGCTGTGAATACATTTTTGCCTAGGTAATTCTACAGCATGATTACCTATGCAAGCAATATTGTACTGACAACTAGTGGCAAATTATAGACATTAAACAAGTATCAAAGGTAGGAAGGGGAACTAAGCATAGATGTAAATAGAAGAAGCTGTTACCCTAAATTAGATAAGTCACGGCAAAGCAAGGATATATATTTATTATGTATGAGATTCGCAAGGCTGCTTTAAAGATATGCAATAGTTAATTGTTCACTCCATTAGTAGAGAAAATGATTTTAAATATAAAGTGAATTAGGATATTTATTTACTGATATTATTTGTATATTAAGTACTCTTCATAGTGAGTACGGATCTTAAAATACTAACATAAATTGAAGTTAACCAAATGATTGCGTTAATGAGTTTTCATTCTGTTTTTCTATTTACAGCTTCAATTTTGTGTGTGTTTCTTCCAGATTAACTATCATTTAACTCGTTATAGTGATCCAGGAAATGGTGAATGGGAATGGCCTGCAAGAAAGAGAAAATAAAGACAGAACCAAACTAATAACTAGTTTTATTTTATTTTATTTTATTTTTTAAAAAAAAAACCTCTTCTAGTTTACAAGCCAAACAGCATGTTTCTCATGCTCATATCCTTAATTTCTTTTTTTTTTTAGATTCCTGAATACCGGATGAGAAATCTGTTTTTTTTTTTTTTCCTCTTAGATTCAGAATGATAAATTTCAGTCCATTCCAAAATTAAGCTCTTTGTCATTACCTTGCTGCATGGAGAAATGTAGGGTTGAATTTTCACTGGGCTAATTTTTGGATTTGTGCTTGAATTGAAGGGATAGGTAGGTGTGTGTGTGTGTTTTGTGTGTGTGTGTGAGAGAGAGAGTGTTTATTTATTTGAGAAGGGAATTATTTGGCTTTTCTCACAATGATTCGAAAGATCTTTGAAATGATCATAGAATTATCAACGAAGCAAGAGGTACTATAGATTTTGCCATATTTATTTATTTTTTGCTTATAAATTAAAATGTTCACCGTTACGATGATGACAATCGAAATCATCATATTTATATTGGCATCTTTATTTTTGCACAACTCGGCACAGTTGCAGAAATACTTATGTGTACACAACTCATGACTTGGATGATAATAAGGGTAATCCGTAGTATCTCAGGGCTTCACAAAAGTACTTTGCAATAAACAGGAGCTCAGATATGGCATTTATGGGCAACTTATTAAATTAACCACATTTCTTTCCCCCAGGATCACAGCACAATTGCAGCACAAATATCTAGAGATCCCTCATAACCTGGACATAAACTGTTTCAATTTCTCCCCTCAGGATACTGCTGTAGGACATTGCGTGCCAAAACAACCAGACACAAAGACATTTTTTCCCCTTCCATGCCATTCCTCTGATAAACACCTAATTTCCACAGCTCTGTTTTATGCCTAAGGATATCTAACCACGTAGTAGAGCTGCATTACTATTATCCTTCTCATCTTTCCCATTACCTTCTCCTATTGGTATCTTATGACTATCACTTTGTTGGTTTTATCTTACGATTTATAATTTGCATGTTATGATTTATCACTTTCTTGATTGTATGTACCCTGAGAACTGATGCACCGGGATCAAATTCCTTATGTGTCCAATTACACGTGGCCAATAAAGAATTGTCTAGTTTCTATTATTTTCTATTTTCTATTTTATTTTGTTCTGTTCTGTTCTGTTCTGTTCTGTTCTATTCTGTTCTACTCTGCTCTCCTCTAAAGACCTATTCTATTCTATTCTATTCTATTCTATTCTATTCTATTCTATTCTATTCTATTCTATTCTATTCTATTCTATTCTATTCTATTCTTCATTCCAATACATTCTATTCTATTCTGTTCTGTTCTGTTCTGTTCTGTTCTATTCTATTCTATTCTTCATTCCAATACATTCTATTCTATTCTATTCTATTCTATTCTATTCTATTCTATTCTATTCCATTCCATTCCATTCCATTCCATTCCATTCCATTCCATTCTCATAGTCCCTCACAGGGTTTTCCTAGAGAATCTTGAATAAAACATTGAAGAAACCTTCCGCCATTGCTCATTATTTTTAGGGAGAGATGTTACATTCCATCCTCGCGATCAAAGAGGGAGATTAAATCCCATCCTACGCCTTATTCCAAAGGAATCAATTTTCTCAGATAAACTGGCTCCTATTTCTCTCCAAAGTCCTGGAAACAATTCCCGCCTAACGTATTGCACTGTGATATTGATGGGTAGGATGTTGTCTTGCTAAGGAACGATTGAGTCAAGCTTTACCTGGTAGGTCCTGAATTGACCTTGGTTTCATGTTCAATACTGTTTGCAACCTTCAGTGTTTGATACATCGTAAACTTTGTTTTTGCTTCCCTCCCCCACCCCCCCCCCCCCCCAGGCCTTGAGCTACCTTTCATGATGATGCCCCATCCGCTTATTCCGGTCAGCCTGCCCCCAGCATCCGTCACAATGGCCATGAATCAGATGAACCACCTTACCACAATTGCAAACATGGCCGCCGCAGCACAAGTACAGGGCCCTCCCTCCCGAGTGGAGACATCTGTGATTAAGGTAGGTATGGCCTTGGCCTGCTCTCCAATGTACTGATAGCCTTCTCGGTCCTCTCCTTTCTGCTATGTGTCTTTTGTTCATAAATTTTGTTCTCAAACCATTCCGTTTTGGTCGCCACGATGTAAAAAAGATATTGAGACTCTAGAAAGAGTGCAGAGAAGAGCAACAAAGATGATTAGGGGACTGGAGGCTAAAACATGAAGAACAGTTGCAGGAACTGGGCATGGCTAGTCTAGTGAAGAGAAGGACTAGAGGAGACATGATTGCAGTGTTCCAATATCTCAGGAGTTGCCACAAAGAAGAGGGAGTCAACCTATCCTCCAAAGCACCTGAAGGCAGGAGAAGAAGCAATGGGTGGAAACTAATCAAGGAGAGAAGCAACTTAGAACTAAGGAGAAATTTCCTGACAGTTAGAACAATTAATCAGTAGAACAACTTGCCTCTAGACATTGTAAATGCTCCAACACTGGAAGTTTTTAAGACGAGATTGTCTGAAGTGGTGTAGAGTTTCCTGTCTAAGCAGTGGGTTGGACTAGAAGACCTCCAAGGTCCCTTCCAACTTTGTTATTCTATTCTATGATCTTTTGCAATTTGAAACAAATTACAATAATTTAAAAATCCTTTGAATTCAGACTCAGACGTTGGAATATGGAAGTGGGAATGGCAGTGGGAGCCGCTTTTGCAGCTCAAAATGTTGGGACCAATGAGTGTGGGAAGAAGCTTCAGAGAAGTAGTGAAAATTTGGTGATAAAGTCCTCCATTTTTCACGAAGGGTACAAGGGCCTTATCATGACAGCTAATTGCTTGGCTGTAAACAGAATCATCACAACTGGCTAGAATGATGGCTAAATGAGAAATGTAGATTGTGAGCCACATTTATGTGTCATAATATGCAAAAAAGAACTGAGATAGGATTACATCATATTTTAAACTTTGCCTGCCTGCCTGCCTGCCTGCCTGCCTGCCTGCCTGCCTGCCTGCCTGCCTTCCTTCCTCCCTCCCTCCCTCCCTCCCTCCCTCCCTCCCTCCCTCCCTCTCTGTCTTGGTAGCATTAGGTGATTAATATCATGTTTGGTCATGGAAATGCTACCAAGAATACATGCAAAAAATACATATATGTACATTATTAAAGTGTCATCAGTAAATTTCATTCTTTAGATACCTATGAGAATGGGAATTTATAGGAAATATATTTTTCCTATGCCAGTATAACAAAATATATTTACTTTTACTTCATGTCAAATGTCCTGGAATTTAACTTATAGGGATATAGAGAGCCATTCCCAAGGTTACTAACATGTTAATTTTGGATTTTCTTTTCTTTTCATTTCATTCATTCACTCACTCACTCACTCACTCACTCACTCACTCACTCACTCACTAATTCATTCACTTCATTGATTGATTGACTCATTCATTTATTCACTCACTCACTTACTCACTCACTCACTCACTCACCTAGGTAGAGTAAATAATAATTAGCTTTATTTTTCACACCATACTGTCTCTGAAGACTCTGAATATTATTTTTGATTTTAAAAATGGAGGCCTTCTAAAAATTGGACTTTCAGAATCTGCCTGGAAAGAGAATTCTAGAATACCGTCAACGCAAACATAGCTTTCAAGACAGATTTCTATTGCTTGAAAAATATTGAACTAAAAGCCTCGGTGGCACCATTGTTAGAAGGTAGTATTGCAGGCTAACTCTGCCCACTGCCAGCAATTTGATCCTGACCAGCTCAAGATTAACTCAACCTTCCATCCTTCCAAGATTGGGAAAATGACGACCCAGATTGCTGGTGGAAATACAGTAATGGCCAAAATTGTGGAAAGCTTTTGGGAAAAGTGTATTTTCTAAAACTAGCTAATAACACCACCTTTTTTTGGAGTAGTTCCATAAAATTATATATCAATGGAAAGGTAATTTAATCAAGAATGTACTGCAATAACTTTTATGAAGGATTTGCTATTAGAATAGCAGTTACAGTATAAAGAAGAAAAGTGAAACACGTAGAAAAATGAGATATACAAAAATTATCACCATAGAAATTATCATCATGTCAGTTAATCCTTAGTTGGGTAACCTTTAGCATGAATTACAGCCTTACAATGTCTTCCCATGGAGTGAACTAAGTCTTTTACAGCTGTTATGATGTGAAACCAAGATTGAATGATTGCTTCTATTAATTGAGTTTTATTGCTGGGTCGCTTCTGACTAACAAGTTTCTTTAGTGGGCTCCATAGATTTTCAATTGGGTTAAAGTCTGGGCTATTCCCAGGCCATTCCAGCAGTGGAATATGATTATCTTGAAACTCCCCCCCAAAATGTGGTGTTATTAGCCATCAAACCTCAAAAATACACTTTTCCCAAAAGGTTTCCACAATTTTGGCCACTACTGTATACTGACTCTGTAAACCACTTAGAGAATGCTGTAAAGCATTATAAAGTGGTATATAAGTCTAAGTGCTATTGCTATTGCTTACTACTTTTGACCAATGAAAAGAATCATGTGGGAAATCAGTAATACAGTAGAACTTTGAGCTTTAACTTTCTACTACTTTACCCCATTCATATTCTGGGACCATTTTCTATCATGGCAGGTTATAAGAGTTTCAAGATGAAATCTGCCTCAGTGGGAAAGTTGATCTCAAGCCCTTTCTCAGCTCAGATCTCTGACTGGCCATTCTCTGCTGTCCACCAAGTGGCTTTGTGCATTATCTGAACATTTGCAAATGACAGCTTGCTATTTAGCAGTGCTTCATTTTCTGCAGATAAGAAGCTAGTATTCCTGGGGAAGCAAATCTTGGATTTCTATTTTTAACCTTTTCAAAAGAATGAAGCAAATGAAATAATGAAATCTAATCAGGAAGAGTGAGATAAGAAAGTCAGTGTTCTTTTTTTCTTCTTTTTTACTTTACAATTCTACATTCTACAATTAATCAATACCCTTTGGGGAATTAGATAAATATTAGATAGCCGTTTTGCAATCTGGATTTTGAGGAATGAGATCTCAGCAATCAGAGATCCAAGAGCTAATTTACATATATCTGTTATTGCCTATTATTGTGAAGAATAATACAGAAGATACAAAGAAGAGGAAACAATTAAAGATGCTTAACAATCAACAACGTCTGTCCATAAAAGACGAGCTACTTCTTGTAAAAACAAAAACTCCAAACTGAATATTTCTTGAATAAAAGATCAAGAGTCAAACCATAACTCTGCCTTGAAATGGAAGCTGAGGTTTCTTCTTCTTAACAAATGTGAAGAATGGAAATGAAACCTTAAGAAAGGGGACACAATTAGGTGTTCCTTGATGGCTGATTTCCAGTCTTCCAGCCATTGACCAACATGTTTCATATTTGGAAGAAAGATATAGATGTTTCCATATATTCAAATTATAGGATGCTATGGGTGCAAGTCTTCTGATTTCAGAGAACCAGCAATGACATAGAATATGGTTATCTGAAAAAGATGCATCATCTAAACTGTACTGAGCCTTTGGCTAGTAAGCAAATACATTGCTCTTTTTCTTCAGCTTTAACTCCCTGACGTTTTTGTTCTGGATTAGGGCAGTATTCTTCTACCATCAGGGGTGGGATCCAGAAATTTTAGCAACTAGTTGCTGGGTGGGTATGGCCATTGTGGGTGTGGCCTATTCGGCCTCCTGAACTGGGGGGGGGTGTTTTCACCCTCCCCAGACTCCGAAGGCTTACCTTGAGCCTCCGGGAGCGCAAAAATGGCCTCCCCGGCTCCAGAAGCCCTCTAGAGGCCAGAAACAGGCCCATTTTTGACTTCCGAAACTTCCGGTAGGCCTGCTTTTCACCCTTCCAGAGCCACCCCACGGGCCCTGCACATACCTGGTATCCAAAATAGACTGGGTGGAGTCTCCTGGGAGGGGAGGGGCAGGGTCGGCAGGGTCAGCCAGTCCTTACAACTACCAGTTCAGCGAACCAGATTAAAATTAACATCCGGTTTGCCTGAACCACTCTGAACCGGCTGAATCCCACCCCTGTCTACCATGCCAGGTGATAAAGGTACAGGCCACTCACCTTTGCTGATGTTGCTACTATTTCTACTGGGTTACGTAAATCAAAGAGTACTAATTACTAAGGGTTACGAATCAAGGAGAGAACCAACCTAGAACCAGGGAGAAATTTCCTGATGGTGAGAACTCCAGTGGAATGTCTTGCTTTCAGAAGTTGTGGGTGCTCCATCGCTGGAGGCTTTCAAGAAGAAACTGGATAGTCACTTGTCTCGTATGGTATAGACTCTCCTGCTTGAGTAGGGGGTTGGACTAGAAGACATCCAAAGTTCCTTTCAGCTCCAGGATTCTCTTAAATGCTGATGTAAGTTGTCCATTGATGGCAAACCTAAGAACTACAGTAGGCGACAACCAGATCCAAGAATAATGATGAGCGTCCATCGTCGCTTGTTTTTTATATTTATATTTTCCCTTTCCTAAACAAGTTCAAGACAGAGTTGATAAATCAAGTCATTTTTCAGCAGATTTATAGCAGCTTTTCAAAGTAATGTAACATCATTGTAAAAGGACAGTAAACTAAATTTAAGCAAAACTTAAATTAAATTTAACTTAAACTTAAAATTCTTTTATTCTTGTTCTCGTTTTTTGTTTGACAAATTCTAATAAATAAAATAAATAAAACAGTTATTTTTTTCCCTCCTACTTTCCAGAAGAGTTTCTGCTCATTTGTTACAACAAATACAATCAGATGTTCCATAACAGTTTAAAGAATTGCCATCAGTTGTTTAGACTAATGTTCAGATAGCAACATCTTTCTCCCTCTTAATGATGTGCATGTATAATCGATAAAACATTGCAGAAAAAATATTCTTTATTTGATATTGGTTTTGGTATTTGTTTATTTTGCTGAAGGAGGCAAAAAAAAATTTAAACCTTAGAAAATTACCATATTCAAAGATCATATGATCAACTATTATTGCAGTTCACAATTTTGGTTCGATTTATTTAACGATG